GGATACGACACGATACACTTTATTGTCCCCTTGTGGAAATTGTCTGGGACTCAAAGTGCTGCAAACTTCAGCTGCTTCAGAAAACAATCAACACAGGCAGGTAGCAGCAGCATGTGAGTCCGGATCACGGATGTGTATTGCTCTGTAGACTTCCTAGTTTGTTTTGAATGTACTGTCTTGTCTCCCTCGTTGTTGATATACCCCGTTTGTCTTATCTGGCTAGAGTAGAATGTAACTGTCAGACTTTCTTTTATTGTCTAGAGGAGAAAGGAAACAGTAGAGTGAGATAAATTGGCAGGCCGTGAGGAAAGGAATACTTTGTGTCAGGAAAACAAATGTAGTGATAAAACCCAAGTTTAAATGTAAATGCAAAATCGAAAAAGATATTCATAGAAAATAGCAACATGTGGCAGAGCAGGTATTATGAGAAATCCTTCTACTTTTAGTGACGTACTTCATGTAAGAGACATAAACATAACTTTCTTATCTTCATGAGATGCAGAAAGGACGTCGACCTGTCAATCTGAACGGACCATCCCTGCTCTCTCTCTCTCTCTCTCTCTCTCTCTTCTCTCATTGTGATGGGACACACCACAGATACTCTGACATGTGAAGAGTAGAAGGGAATATGTCAGGGAAGGAGTTTGTGTTGTTTTGGTGACTATCTGTATAACAAGCAGAAACAAGAAAGACTAAGAACCCATCACTGAAGAACACCTTGTGCCATGTGGACGTGGCGTTCTCAACTTCAATCCAATTCCATTTGTTTTATTTTGCAAATGTTACAATTATATTAAATCCACAAAAAGCCATTCCTGTCCTTCATTGTGTCTCCTGATGTTTCCTATTTGTGTTACAGACATTACCACGGGACTTGGTATCCAAAAGTACTGGAGTATTCAAACATTTTGAGAACCTTGAAAATAAAAAGCCTTGTGTTTTTGGATCATGCTGAATTCCTTCCTGTTGCGTTTGGGCCTGAGCCTGAGAGATAGTTCCTGTGTAAAGCCAACATTGTAGTGGAGCTGTTGTGTTCCTGGGGAGGAGGGTTTTGATGTCCTCAAAAGGATTTTTCATCTTTAGATGTGCACAGTGAGTGCTGCAACACTCAGAGGAACTTACAAGGACATAAACAAAAAAATAATAATTTAAGTGGGACTGTAAATGGAGTAAAGCTTTCAGGGCACATTTCCAAGGACGCAATGAAAGCTTGAAAACAAAGCAACACATATTACTGCATTTGTTTTTGTTTTTATTCATGAATTCCAAATGACAACAAGGAGAGATCTTTGCATTACAATTTCATTTACCTCATATGCAAACTATCTGTAGCGTGTTTTTCTGTATCGCCCTCCAGTGATAGCAAAAGGACGTTGCATAAACATATCAGACATGTTGTGTAATCAGTTCATCTAATTGTTGGTTTATAGATAAATGTGAAACTTTTAAACTTTTTGGTCTAAGTTTCTGAAATGAGAGTTTGTATGAATCTTTGACTTTTTGGAGAGATTTTCAATTTCTTTTCAAGAAGTGCAACTCTCAAATTACTGCCCTCTAGTGGTGTCTACAGGAAGCTACATACATGTTACAGACCCGGTTTTGTGACATCAGAGTAGACTCTGTTTGGTCATCTTTCCTTCCAGAGTTGCTTTAAAAGTCTCTGTATTTGCGGGCGCAGAGAGAACTCCCATGATTCCCCAACAGCCTCAACGTTATATTTTGTTATTGTATTGATTGAGAGCCCCCTGCTGGAGGAATCTACATACATACATACATTCTATAGTTAATATCTTGTATAAAAGTAAATGGACACTCATATATGATGCAAAAACACTTACAGTTGTGCGTTATTACCTGACATGGCGAGATAGTTGATGTCATGTCCAGCAGTATTGGCATAAGATCCACTCTGGCCGTACCCCGTCAGCCGAGCGTAGATCAGACGGGGATTCTCCTTTAAGAGCTCAAGTGGGCCGAGGCCCAGCTTCTCCATCACACCTGAAGAAAGTCAAAGATGTAAAATGATGTGTTATGAATTCAAGCACTGATCATATTTCATCAAACAAGTTGCTAATTTTCTCCTGATCACTTGATTGATACATTGATTTAACTAAAGTGATTTAAAAAAATTAATAAATCTGTAGAAGATTCATCTTTATAAATGTTTGTGACCCAAAGAAGTAAAAGTAAGCCCTCTTGATTGGGCCTGACCACTAGTTAGTACAGCAGTAAAATACAGATTTTTCAGTTTTCAAATTGTACTTTTACTCAGAACTTTTCAGTTACATCTTCCTGATTAAACTTCTGTTGCATTGTTTTTGCAATAGGGTTTGAGTGAAGGACTTGTACTCCCTACTAATGGAGTATTTATTAATCACAGTAGTGTTTGTAGTCTGACCTTTACGGTAGGGCTCAAGGACCACATCAGACTGGACACAGAGTTTCCTGAGCACAGCGACGCCCTCTGATGACTTCAGGTTGAGGGCCACAGATTGTTTCCCCCGTCCTTGTGTGTCCAAAGACATGGCCACCTTTGTCCGGTCCACGCGGATCACCTTGGCTCCAAAGTCCGCCAGGATCATACCGCAGAACGGTGCCGGAGCTAAACCCGCCAGCTCGATAACCCTCACTCCAGCCAGAGCCATGGCGAGAGGACTGTGAGGGAGAATATGAGAAACACATCTCAGTATTTAACAAAAAAAAACAGAATTCACAGCAGACCTCACATAGTTTTCCTCATCAAGTTCAGTGTGGCAGCCATTATTATCATTTTCTGATAGATCTTTGAGTCATTTTCCTGATAACCTGTTACCGCTTTAACATGTCGTAAAACAATGGAAATGCCTATCACACTTAACAGAGCCAAAGGTGACATCTTCAAATCATCTAAATTAGCAGTGTGTCTGTCTGAACAACAGTCCAAGGTCCAAGTATTCAGTTTACCACCTCCGGGACTAGGCAAATATTCTCATATATCAGAGACTGGAACAAAACAATTCCTTAATAAAATAAAGAATCGCTTCATCAAACGTCTTGATTATTGCCTAGGTTATGAATGACGTTGTTTCAAAGTGTTTATGCTCTTGGGACCAGAAAAAATACACACGCTTACACAAGAGCATGTACACTTTCTAACAAACTTTTGTTAATGTTTTTTTTTTCACTGCACATAAATGCATTTATGGATAAACAGGGTGAGTGCAAAGTGGTGAAACTGGTGGTTTTCTATACAACGGTTGATCCCAAAGAATCATAGAAAGTACTGCTGCAATTCGCAAAGATGCAAAGAAGGGATAAGCGTCACTGTTTTAGTTAACTTTCAACTTTTAAAAGTTAAATGAAAAGTTGACGAAAACACCAAAACTGTGTTGACTCCGATTCAGAGTCAAAGTACAAATGATCTGTTTTCATCAAAGTCCAAAAAGTGACACCAGCCAATTGTAAAAACCTGAAAGTTTAAAACCAAGTTTGTTCTAGTGAGGCTGCACAAGTCATCCTGTTGTGTTATAAAGACACGAAGTCAGACAGTAAGTGTAACATGTGTTACAATGAATGACATTACTCTACAGAAAACAATGACTCAGTGATTTCTCAGTAAACAAATCAGTGAAGGAGAGTCTAACTTACTGTTGATTTATGAAACATTGCCCTTAAGAGAGTTCAAAACGGAAAGCCTGCAGTAGCTCTACGGTAACAAGCTTACTGTCGTTTGTAAGTCAGGACAGGAGGACACTTTGTGTGTGTGTGTGTGTGTGTGTGTATATGTACAGTGTGTGTTTGTATATGTACAGTGTGTGTTTGTATATGTACAGTGTGTGTTTGTATATGTACAGTGTGTGTTTGTATATGTACAGTGTGTGTTTGTATATGTACAGTGTGTGTGTGTGTTGGGACTAGTGAGGCAATGAGGTAATCATTAATAGTAAAGATGTGCAAATAATAAGCAGCATGCATAAAGTTAAGCATGTTTTCAGCTGTTGTGGCTAATATATAAGCTGCTTTTAGCTGCTTTAAAGTGCTTACCTGTTGAGCTGTAGCGTGGTTGTTATTCTAGAAACAGGTGCAGGTTGAACAGGTGAACCAGCAGACTCAACAGTGAAGCATGTTCCCGTTCACAGGTCAGATGCACTCTCTGGCTCGGAAATGAAGCGATTTACACACAGTCTGCTTCCTGGTGACCGACCGTAAAGCGCGACGCCGTGAAGGTTTCTGGGAGATTGAGTTTTGTTGACTGTTTTACGTTCGCCGTGAGGAAATGTACAAACATTTTCTCAACAGGGTAATCCCATCTGTTTCTAATTGTATGATAATATGCATCATGTGATTATATGAGCTGTTCATGATAAATACATGTATTGGAAAATATACAACAAAGTTTAATACTGCATAGTACTATTAATACTGCTCCTTTTGTGCATTTTGTGTTTTTACATTTCTTATACTCTATTATATATATTTGTAATAATTTCTAATATTTTATTTTATTTAAGTTCTTGCTGTTTTGCTTTATTTCATTTATTACACCAAGACAAATTCCTTGTATGTGTAAATGTACTTAATAAAAAACAATACCAATTTTGATTCTGATTCTGTGAGAGTCTTTCAAAAATAAAAACAAAAAAATATAGCCTACTATTTTTTCAAATGTACTTTAATAAAATAGAATAAGGATTTAATGTGTGCAGAACATCTTAGTTGAAACCTGCTTTCCTGTCAAGCAATATATCATAAACAGGCTAGGACAGAGTGCTGGCTGAAAGAGAATCCTTTACTTGATCCATTTATAGATTTAAACATCTTCCTGTCGTCAAGGAACAGAAACTTTAGTGCATGAAAGCAAAGCTTGAAGTACTTCCTTGATTAAAAAAAACCCATTTTACTCAAGCAGCCACATTTTACCTTAACTTCAATGGCAGGAGAGAATAAAATGCAATCTTTGAAGACCTGTTGAACAGTCAAGGCTATATATTACATCCATATAATCAAGTGTTATTACCTGGCTATAATTGACTGATTGTTTGTTTTTATTTATTTGTTAGGATCCTCTTCAGTTGTACCTGTGAGCTCAACTATTCTTCCTGCGGTCCACTGGGACTGCTGATAACAAAAAAAAAGTATTTAATGTGTGTAAACTGGTAATATATCATCTCTTTTAAGTCAACCTCTGATCATATTTTTAGGGAAAGTGTGTATTTTTAATCTCTGATTGTAAATATTTGTATTTCTGATAGTTTCTGTGTTGTTTTGTAAACTTCACATGTTTTTGTCTCTCTTTGTTCTTGTTGTCGTATACTTTTCTTCTAGCACTTTGCACACTTTTGTCTTAAAGTGCTGTACTAATAAGGTTATGATTAGATTATACCTAGTGTAAAACCTAGATTCAAATAACATCAAATATACACAGAGGAACAGTTTACTGTTGTTTAATGGCACTCTTTAACAGAAAATGTTGCCCAATTTTGCAAAACTGTTCATTACAAGGTTGACTGTTGTCTTATTCTCGCAAGAAATGCCAACCAAGGTAAAACGTTTTCTTAATAACACTCATTCGAGCCACTTTATACGGGAACGGTGCAACTTAAGTCAAACATGCCCACACAGCTGTTTCATCAGGAAGCACAACAAGATAATGTCAGAAAATCCATGCTGATCTGAAGAGCTTATCACTTTGATTATTTCATTCCATTTACTTTTGGTGTACAGGCCGTTAGAAACACAATAACCTTAATAAGCTGGAGGCTTTTTAAAATAGTGTTATTGCTTAAGAAATAACAACCCCTGAAAATTAACTGGTGATTAAGAAAATTACATTTCTTAACTCATTAGAGTCTCTGTACAGCAATAAAACACCATCTTCAATTAAACCCCTGCTGTTGTCAAGCCTTTCTTTAAGGACAAACATTCATGTTTGATCTAAGTGCTCCACTCATTATCGTTTTGTGGAAAGAAAAAAAGTAGAAAGCAGAAAGTTAAACTCAGTCAAAAATGGAAATGCACCGTGGAAGAAAATAAGAACAGATGTTCTTCCAAACTTTTCCTTTGCATCAATCGACCCACTCTCTCTCTCCTACTTTAACTTGTACAGCAGTAAGAATGACCTTTTCAAGATTGAGTCTGCAGCTCCTGGACTTAAACGGTCATAGAGCCAGTATGGTGTAATGTAAAAGATGTTTCAATCTTTTTCCTACAGAGACAAAACATAATAGGAAAAATATAATACCTAAGCTTTTTGTCCATATTTATGTATATTTTAGGGTAACACTTTACAATAAAGTACACATATTTTGCATAGTTAGTGTGGAAAGAAATGGGAAACTAACCCCTAAGTAACCACTAAGTAACCTCTAAGTAATGGGTAGATAGTGAGTACTTCCTCATCACATGTTCTAGAGTAGCTCGTGATTAGTTAGTGGGAAATGAAAGGGGAACTAACTGCTATGTAACCATAATTACTAAGTAGTTTTCTTAAACAATTTTAACAAATATCACATCTTGAGGACAGCTAGCTTTTGTACCCTGATTTTGACTGGCCGTTCAAAACATCAAATAAACACTTAACCCTTTCAACATGCCAGCTAAGCCAACTTGCTGAAGGACAGTGATGGCTACATACTTGCTAATAACTGTGAAAAGTCATTTCAGGACAGCAGCTTAACAAAATAGCCTACTTGAACTGGTTTGAACAATCTGCCACTGTTTTGAACAAGGAACACACCTTGCCTTGACCCATGAATGACACATCCCATGTAAAATGTGTCTGACAAGTCAGTGCTCAGATTTCCCTATGTAAAAAGAAATGCATACTGTACAGGCA